AAAATTTTACAAACCTCTAACTTGACTTGGAACATTACTTGTAGCATCACTTATCATGTGTACGTTCTCTGTATTTTCTCCGTGGCCAAAAGTTGAAAATATGAAATATGACATGTTCTCGCAGAATCAATGCTGGATCGTCCCGTCATAAGTAGTTCCACGCCACAAGCTTCGTAAGTTCACAATGAATTTTCACCTTTTTTCAAAAGACAGTTGTCCCAAAATATCACGTCTGATATTTAAAACTCGAAAAAGACGACGATTCGAATTCTGGCCTACTTTTGTTTTTCATTTTTCAGTAACGAAAAAGCACAATAGGTCTATATTTGAATATCTTAGATGTACTGTATATGCTTGTATATGCTATGTATCAACCTACTGGCTGCTATTTTTTATGCTATCAATCGTACTTCTATGTTGGAAGCTTCGAGTGAAGATTTTGTAAACTGGACAAATGCGGACAACTTAAATTGCTCGTCTTCAATTTAAAAGATTTCTAGTGACTGATAGGGTTAATGTCAATGGACTCTCATTAGTCTGAACGTTTTTCAAGTATTAGGTCATTTCGGAAGTAATTTCGCCTTTTTCAAACGGAAGACACATGTGATGGAACGAAGATTTCTATGAGATCTTGGCTAAAGGTTGTAAAATTATCGCGGCACAGTCAATGAATTTTTGAAAAATTACGAAAGTCTGCGACCTATGCTTTTCAAGATGCTCAAGTTTCACCATTTTTCTAAATTTTTACATCAATTCTCCGAAGGAGTATAAGTAAAGATTCGTCATAGGATATGGAGTAACTTTTTTCTCGTTTTTATATCTCGCCATAATTTCTTGAAAGATTTATTATTGAAACCATCAAAATTGACAGGCTTACGTCAGCCGCATTCGCATCATACACCAATAAATCTTCGGAATTTGAAACTTTCAAGATGGAATTATGAATGAACACTAATGTTGCAAAGCGAGTGAGAGTTTACGGAATTGAAATATCTAATTTCTAATTTTTTCCGGGTACAGCCCGGAACGCGTTCGAGAATATGAATTACTAGCTGGCTTACCCGGCTCCGCCGTATCCGGACCAAACTTGGCACACATACACTTCGGGCCCCGGCGGGTGTCACAGTCCACTTTTCGTTATCGATCGATGTCGATTTTACCGATTTTTATCGATTTTTTTGCAGAGTTCACCTACAGGGCTAGGAGTTGGCACAGGGGGGAAGTGAGCATGGGGATTCCGAATACAATATTAGTTTTCAGAATTATCGATTGCTTTTATTGATTCTATCGATTTTTTGGCAGAGTTCACCTACAGGGCTAGGAGTTGGCACAGGGGGAAGTGAGCATGGGGATTCCGAATACAATATTAGTTTTCAGGATCGTCCATTACTTTTATCGATTTTATCGATTTTTTTGCAAAGTTTGACCTGCGGGGCTTGGAGTTTGCACAGAGGGTAATCGAGCATGCAGATTACGAATACAATATTACTTTTCAAGATCGTCCATTACTTTTATCAATTTTATCGATTTTTTGAAAATTTGAGCTAGGGGGCTGGAATTTGGCACAGGGGTGTTCGAGCATGCTGATCACCCCCCTTGGGGATGATCAGCATGCTCGATTACCCCCCTGTGCCAACTCCCAGCCCCCTAGCTCAAACTTTGCAAAAAAATCGATAAAATCGATAAAAGTAATCGATAATCCTGAAAACCAATATTGTATTCGGAATCCCCATGCTCGATTACCCCCCTGTGCGAACTCCCAGCCCCGTAGCTCAAACTTTGCAAAAAAATCGATAAAATCGATAAAAGTAATCGATAATCCTGAAAATCAATATTGTATTCGGAATCCCCATGCTCGATTACCCCCCTGTGCCAACTCCCAGCCCCGTAGCTCAAACTTTGCAAAAAAATCGATAAAATCGATAAAAGTAATCGATAATCCTGAAAACCAATATTGTATTCGGAATCCCCATGCTCGATTACCCCCCTGTGCCAACTCCCAGCCCCGTAGGTGAACTCAGCAAAAAAATCGATAAAAATCGATAAAATCGATATCGATCGGTGACGAAAAGTAGCCTATGACACCCGCCGGGGCCCGAAGTGTATGTGTGCCAAGTTTGGTCCGGATCGGTTCAGAAATGGAATTTTCTATTCGGAACATACGTACACACAGACAGACATACAGACATACATACATACATACATACATACATACAAACAGACATACAGCTTTATATATAAGATGATAATTTTATACGCAAAAACTCCAAGAAGGAGAAAAAAGGATCCATTAGAAAAAGGAGAACAAGCTGCATCGAATCACACTCGAGCTGCTTGCCGTTTGATGTTCTACGATGTTTGAATTGGCCAAGAATGGAAATTGGTAGCATCAATCAAAATTCTATTAAAAAATTTTGATGAGTTATGTGAACGAGAAAAAAATGTTTTTGTATCCTCTAGGGTTTGCTCTATCGAACTGCTACTTCAAATCCTTCGGAGGATTAATGTACAAATTTAGAAAAATCGTGAAACTTGAACATCTCAAAAAGCATGGATTGGAGACTTTCGTAATTTTTCAAAAGCTCATTGACTGTTTTGCAAAAATTTCATAACCCTTAGAAAGAAAATGAAATGCTGCATCGAATGCTTCCAAGATCTCCTAGAAATCCTTGTTCCATCAAATGTGGCGCCCGTTTGAAGAAAGCGAAATTACTTTCGGAATGACCTAATATTAGAACTGTCGACGAAGAAACCACACACCGCGTCAAGTTATTGCCGCAAACGTACAACTAGACTCCTAACAAGAAAAGGATACTTGGATGCCGCGGCCATTCCTAATGATTTGTATACCAAAAAATGCGCCTTCGAATGCACATTCTGAATCTGTGCTCGAAATCTGCGAAACCATCTTTTGAAGAAAGTTATGAACTTTTTTTCCTTGAAAATTTAGCCTACTTTTGGATAGTAAAAATCACCAGATTTGATCTAGCCTACCGTTTGATGCTACTGAAGAAAATTTTAGACGTAGTAATATTTATTTAGACTATTTGGATCATACTCAGCATTTTGAAAGGAGAGAAAATTTTTTTATTGGTGATTTTGACCCTCCGCAGGAACGTAATTTTTTTTAATGAAAAAAAATCATAACTCCATTCAGATTATCGTTTCGCAGATAAGAAAGACAGTCTACGAACCAGCATTCAAAAGCGCATTTTTTGGTATACAAATCATTGTGAATGGCTACGGCATCCAAGTATCCTTCCCCTGTAAGATGCGACAGAGACGTCTATCAAAAATTTATCATGATAATCTGAGTTCAACAAACACATAAAATCTAATGGTTCAAATAGTCATCTACCAATGTAAGGACCTAGCTACGCCATAATGCAAAATTCTCTTGGCAAATACAGGGTGTTCCAAAACTAAGTACACATTATCTGATCATTGATAACTTTTCTCACAAAATCTTTTGTTAAGCTTCAAATACCATTCAGTAGAGCATCGTCAATTGACATATGTAGTAAACCACTCATGGTTCTTCATTAATGTAGGTTTACGGCAGGAACTTTCAGCATGCAGCGCCATTATGCGGTAGGCCGTTTAAGAAAAGAGTTCACCAAAAATATGGGAAGCTAGCTGCGTTTTTGGACATGCTAACATTATTAAACAACTTTTTACAAGTCTTTAGGTGTTTCAAATGTTTTAATCACATTGTTGGAAAACAGTAAAAAAATTCTGTCGCTCTTTACACTTGGCCTAACTCGAGAGAAATTCTTTACAGTCATATGTAAATCTTGTATTTTTTAACCGGGGACACATAGCTCAACGATGAAATTTTCTGCTATTCTGGGGCAATATGAAGCCATTGAAGGATGGCTTAAAACTACTTTCAAAGTTTCTACCGTAATCTTATAGTAGTGAAGAGCGGTGGGTGATTTGCTGCATACTGTAAATATAAGTTTGAACCTGCTTTATTGATTGAAATTGAAGCCAAGCAAAATACTTTGTGGGAAGAGAGGTTATTAACGACTAGAAATTGTGTACTTACCTTTGAGACACCCTGTATAGCTTGACAAGCAAGGTTCTTAGCAAATAAATGTCAGAAATTAGCAAAAAAATATTTTAAAAATCACTCATCCACATTATGATTTGCAGCTTTGTTTAGCTAATCTCTGCCAGCAATGACTGTTAACTTTGTTGCAGAATAAATGCTTGGGTTGCTCCCGATGATTTTCGCATATGCAACAAGCTATGTGGTATTTTGCATTCTGTCAAACAACAATCGAAATTGTTTTGATTCTCAACCGGAATTTTAGAACCTGATTACACAGCTGAAGCACTAAAACTCGTTAGTGATAGCAGAAGATTTCTTCCGAATTCAAGCACTATTTGACAGCATTTGTACCTATACTAACAAGGGAAATTTGTCTTTTGAAATTCATATCCAGGAAACACCTGATGTTTGAACGCTCTCGTTGCTCTTAAAGTGCAGAACATGTCAATAACGGAATTTGAGCTGAAATACCGAATGCATCCACAAACTCTACTTTCTGTTGAATTGTCGTATAGTGGCACTTATGGGCTATGCCAAGTAAGCTTACCAGTCTATAGATGAAAAGCTTGACAAGTCCTAAGTGGATGAGCTAAAGATTTGGACTTACAAAATGCCCAGTCATTTTTAACTCTTAGTTTTTGACTGCAAAAGAATCGTACCCACTTTTTTGACAGATCTAATTTACTACGTTTGAGAAATTCTGAAAGAAAAAGTAAAAATTCGTAGAAGTGTACTATCAAGGCATGTAGTGTCTACATAGCACTCTAGCATTAATTTTGCCTAGAAGTAGCACTAAGTCACAATATATCTCCTGCTAGTCAAGCTGTCTGCCGGTTGGTACAGCATCGAGTCAATCCAAATTAAAAGTTTATTGTTTCAGCTTTATAGTACATGTTATGTGCATAAAATATGATGAGCATCAAGCCATATTCACTCTTCATCAAAGATGAGACTTCTTCTGTTTGTAACTGTATGTGTTTTACACTTCTCTCTATCATGCCAGTTACAATGTCTTTTTTGAGGTATTGTTAATGTTGGCGATTATGACTATGGATGTGGAAGCACGAAGGCAGAGGCACATATCAAATCGTCTTTACCGAGAGTTATTAGAGATTGCTCGTGACTTGAGTATTGAGGTAAGCGATGTCAATTATTCATTGTGATTCCAAATTCTGAAACTGCAAATAATCCATCTTTTAGCTCACTCCTGCACAAAAACATAACATATGGAGAAATGGACGCGTAAGTTCATAAGTTATAGACTTACTATACACTTTTCCGCTAATGCCGTTTATTTTCACAACATTTGCTGCTCTGCTTTTTCGAATTGTTTGAACGAGACTGACCAATCTTCCAATCTTTGAACTTGAACATTTAATGGAAGTAAATTTTTTAGTCCAGAAAGCTAGCCCAAGCATAGTACCTGAGCAGGAGTCTGCGATGAGTCCCGAATCATTTGAAGAGGTGAGCCTATAATCTGATACTCCAAATGTCTTGCAACCATGGTAATGACAGATTATTAATCGCACGCTAATCAAATTTTTCTAAATAACAATATCAAGCCTTGTTACATTCAGTTCTTGTTCGTAATATGTCAGATATTTTTTGTAGGCGAACGCTATTAGAATTTTCAGGTCATACACAATGCGCAAACTAGTCCTCTTTATGCTTTTACATTTCAGCTAGTGTAAGAAAAGCAAGATAAGATAGAGCGCTAAAAAATCTTCTGTTAGAAAATTGCTAACTTCAAAAATGAAGATGCTTCTAATAGAACAGATCAGGCACATTTTCAAGCACGCATGAGTTTACTAGCAACGCTGCACATTAGAGAAGCTATTAACAGCAGAAACTTGATGCAGTTTCTGCAAGCTTTCATCGTAAACACTCTCAACATCCTCAGGTTGTCACTTTGTCTCACCATTCATATCCCAAAAGCTAAACAATTCCAGTGCTAGTAAAATGCGGCCTTACTCAAGGAGATCTTGTTAAAACTTTAGTTAAAACTTGCTAGTAGAAGCGGATTGCTAATAACTTATGCTTTCTCGCTTTTCAGAAGCTGGAAAACTGACAAATGACACACATTTCAGGAATCGACCTCCCAATAGAGTGTCGGCCTTGACACCGTTGTTTCACCTTTAATAAATAAATTGCTAACTGTTGTAGAGACAGCACAAGATTTTTTCGATCGCAAAGCTAAACATGCCAAATGAAGTGCAATGCATCAAATTAGTGTCCGCCATATGGAACACAAGTTCAAATCTTATATATAAAGCTGAATGTCTGTTTGTCTGTCCTGTCTGTCTGTCTGTATGTCTGTCTGTACGTATGTTCCGAATAGAAAATTCCATTTCTGAACCGATCGGGACCAAACTTGGAACACATACACTTCGGGCCCCGGCGGGTGTCATAGGCTACTTTTCGTCATCGATCGATATCGATTTTATCGATTTTTTGCAAAATTTGAGCTACGGGGCTGGTAGTTGGCACAGGGGGGTAATCGAGCATGCTGATCACCCCCGTGGGGGATTACACCCCTCTGCCAAATTCCAGCCCCAAATTTTGCAAAAAATCGATAAAATCGACATCGATCGATAACGAAAAGTGGACTGTGACACCCGCCGGGGCCCGAAGTTATGTGTGCCAAGTTTGATCCGGATCGGTTAAGAAATGGAATTTTCTATTCGGAACATACGGCGGAGCCGGGTAAGCCAGCTAGTTTACAAATAAAAAGCAAGAAAAAGTCTATGTCAATTCTGGAATGGTCTAACACTATCATTCACGTGTTTGATGTGCTATTCTAATCATGATAGTTGCCAATTTGATACTTTGTACCATGCTGTAACAAAAAATTTTAATTCATAACTTGTTTATTTCTCGCTAATCTTCAACTGGATTGCAAGTACTCAGACAATCGCCGCGGGCAGGCGGGCACCGGAAAAATAGATTGCTGATCTCTCGCACCCCGTTCGCGGATTCTTTGGAAAGCAATCAGGACTTTTTGGAAGACCGCTTGCTGAGTACTCGATTCCTCAGAGATTCAGCAATATATCTGCAAAAGATAAAAGCGAAAAAAAATTCAACAAGCGGTCTCCCAAAAATCCGCTGACTCAGCAAGCGGTCTTCCGAAAAGTCCTGATTGCTTTGCAAAAAATCCGCGAGCGGAATGCGAGAAATCAGCAATCTATTTTTCCGGTGCCCGCCTGCCCCCAGCGATTGTCTGAGTATGCATTTAGGACGTGAAAAAGCACATAACAATTTAGATAGGCCACTTATTGTAAGAGCCAAGTTGCTTGATGATCTGTGTCCAGTATAGCAACCAACCAATATGCTCATTCCTGCTGGCGGCTTTTAGATGCTGAAAAAAGTTGATATATTGTTATACCCATATACGGATGTCATAACTGCGCCTTTGTCCGAGTACCGTAGCGAAATTTTGCATTTAGTCAGACGAAAAACGTGATATGGTGCAAGTCTTTCCGGCAAAATTCAGTTAGTGTCGCAAATTTCCACTACTGGAAAATAACAGGTAATCAAACGACAGTATCAGAAAGACATTGTTAGTATGTTTTAGTGCAAATAGCTCGATTGATGCTGTTAAGAGTAATCAAAGAAATATCTTTGACTTTTTCTCACTTTATTGCTCAACCGTCAGTGAGAATACCGCAGAGTATGGAAGTTTCAGCTTAGGGAAAAATGGGAAGTTGCACTGTGGTTCAGCAAGATGTGCATTATTAAGATGCTTTAACACACTTATAAAATACCTGCTTTTCAATCGCGAAAATTGTGGAAACCTTAGAAGAATATTCTCACTTTTGGAAAAGTTCATAATATCAAAGTATCTGTCTTGCTGGGTGTTTCCTAGAAAGGATACCCAAGTATTCTACCTGATACAAAGCCAGATTGAAGGGTTTGCGGCCTCGAAAGTTTGCATTATAATAGAGCGCAGCTGATAATAACCCAAAAAAGTCTGGCCCACAAAATCCTACAGATAAAGATTCTTAAAACTGTCTTGTTTTCGATATATATATATGTCCTTCCTCTCGTAGGCATACTCTAAATTTTCTATTCCGTGTCTGGTGGTTGGCGTAAGCTAATGCCACAGCAGTCCCTTGCGTATTTATCTATTAATAGCCCTTTCGTAGTTTCTCCGCCATACAGTAAAGAAAAGCACAGGAGTTTTTTTTTTCTGTAGTACCCTGTTTTCAGGTGTACTAGCCGCGGAAGATTTTTTTCTGAAATTGACCAGCCCAAATGCGCCAAAGGACCTGGCGATCGAAGGACCACATATCTGCTGCCTATTTGCATAGAAAAATCGTGCGGCATATCGATTTTCTAAAACATGAAGCGGCTGACAAGGAAACGATACTCGGTGTCCGTGGCCTTTTGAGATGTGTTGTATACCATTACACTCGTCTTGGAACGCTGATTCCGAATCTGATTTCCGTTTCTGCTAATCGCTTCAAAAATGTTACAGTGGATGGTGCGGATTCTGGCTGCCCAGTGAAGTGCGATCGGAGCGCCTGCAATAATCGTAAGGTATGGTGTAGTGGTTAGCGCGATAGGCTCATGAGTTGATGCAAGTGTAGGTTCGAATCCTTTTGTGTTTTTCAGTTTTGCGTTGCCTCAATAAACCTTCTTTTGCATCTTCGAGCTAACTGAACGCCTTTACTCTTCAAAATGTGTAAAACTTGGAAAAAATTTACTATTTGCGTTAAAATGTATCCAATGACCATAATTCGAGTGAATCTCGAACAACTTTAACTGAGGTAGTGCAAAATAAAAACACAAAAGGATTTGAACCTACACCTGTATCAAGTTATGAGGCTATCACAATAACCACTAGACAGTAACATGGCGCCGGTAGAGGCCGTTCTGGTGACCATACCCCTGGGGGATAAAGTTGGCTCGAAATTCCTCCATAACTTCCTTCAGAGAAACGATTAGCAGAAACGGAAGTCAGATTCGGAATCAGCGTTCGAAGGCGAGTGTAATGGTATACATCTCGTCTCAAAAGGCCACGGACATTGAGTATCGTTCCCTTGTGAGCAGCTCGCTTGATATTTCGAAAAAGTGTGGCTTTTACACTGAAAATAGGGTATATTATTTCTCCTGCTTGTCTTATAGTATGAGTACTCCGCATATCTTAGTAGAAATGGTATTTGTCCTGCTTGCCTTATAGTATGAGTACTCCGCATATCTTAGTAGAAATAGTATTAGCTGATAATTTTGTCGGTAGGTTTTTAGTCAGTAGATCTGTCCATGTGGAGGTTGCAAACGTGGTATTTGGTATTTGAAAACATCAACAATGAGCGATTGGTGTGTAAATTGAGATCCTTAATACTCGTCGTCCTACCTGCTCAGACTTGCTGCTCAAAGAAAAGAACCACTTTTGAAAATACTTTCGCCTACACATAATCAGATACCATTCAAATAGGCTGCATACCATTATGGGCGGCGTAGAATGCCTCCGTATCTGCTAACGCCATAGGACAACATTGTGAGAAGTTTTATCGCAAGAAAAACATACGTAATTAAGCTTTCTATAAAAGAACCTACCTGCATTTTTGGCCCACTGTTGAGTCACATGGATGATTAGGTTCAAAATTACACTGTGCATATACTAGGTCGTTTCATAAATTCGTAACTTTTCATACTCGTCCGCATTTTTTGAGAAACTCCCGGTTTGCGGCAACATGCGCGTGTCAATGAAGTGATCTGAGCCTGCCTTTTCAAGGAACTTACCGTATTTGACAAAAAGTTAATCCATTTTGATTTATCAGCTTTTGAATACAGAAGTTTTGCAAAACAAGAAACAATTTCCACATCTGCGCATATTTTTTCTTATAAGAAGGAGTGTTTTTGCATAGTTTTTTTGCAGATTATGAAAAACTAGCTGGCTTACCCGGCTCCGCCGTATCCGGACCAAACTTGGCACACATACACTTCGGGCCCCGGCGGGTGTCACAGTCCACTTTTCGTTATCGATCGATGTCGATTTTACCGATTTTTATCGATTTTTTTGCAGAGTTCACCTACAGGGCTAGGAGTTGGCACAGGGGGGAAGTGAGCATGGGGATTCCGAATACAGTATTAGTTTTCAGAATTATCGATTACTTTTATTGATTTTATCGATTTTTTTGCAAAGTTTGAGCTACGGGGCTGGGAGTTTGCACAGGTGGGTAATCGAGCATGCAGATTACGAATACAATATTAGTTTTCAAGATCGTCCATTACTTTTATCGATTTTATCGATTTTTTGAAAATTTGAGCTAGGGGGCTGGAATTTGGCACAGGGGTGTAACCGAGCATGCTGATCACCCCCCTTGGGGATGATCAGCATGCTCGATTACCCCCCTGTGCCAACTCCCAGCCCCCTAGCTCAAACTTTGCAAAAAAATCGATAAAATCGATAAAAGTAAT